AGCCCCTTGCATGAATTTCATGCATCGGGCCTCTAGTAAAGAGATAAATCCAGATAAATGGAGGAGCCATATCATATAACATCAGTATCTAACTCAGGGGTGGGGGACCTTTTTTTGCCAATGGCCATTTGGATATTTATAACATCATTCTTGGGCCATATAAAATTATCAACTTAAAAATAAGCTTGCTGTATTTAAATGTAATTAAATGTGTCAAACATTTAATTAACTCACCCCTTAATGCCTTGGCAGGGCCAGACCAAATGATTTAGGGGGCCTTATATGGCCTGTGGGCCGGACTTTTCCCACACCTGATAAATCCTTAACAATTAGACAAAAATTGGGGGAGGAGGCTTATGCTCCCTCCATTTGTCTGCAAATAGGCTCTCCAGTATACAGTATACTATAAAATACTCCATAGGTGTTCATTGTGTGAATGAATACATGAATTAATATGTACACTTATTTTATATAAGTTGAATAGGTAACAGCTTATTGGAAAATTCTCTGGAGATCACTTACACAAACTTATACACGAATTCTAAAAAGAAAATTATTTAACTCTTTATTGGTGGCTACTAATTCAACCGCATGTTCATGGAGAATTTCCCACTCATAAGTGGATCTTCATCATCTTGCAAATTGACCTTTGAGGTGTCTCACAAGTAACATCATTCAAGCCCCACGATCTCCGTGAAGGATTATTCAGCATAACACAGCGCTCCCACTGATAATTGGGTTCACCTGGATGCCAGAATCTGAAAGGGGAAAAATGTGGATGTGACTTCAAATAGTGAGAAGGGTTAGAGACAGTGAGGTAGGAGGCTGGGGTTAAACTGTACAGAAGTCAAAGCAGAAGTCCCCAATCATTTCTTTTCTACTTATTAGGCAGTGTTTTTCTCCATCTGCGTCTTTGGCATTTCCCTTGAAAACTGTGCCTACACCCACCGCCCAGTATGGTGTCATCTTATTGCATTAAACACCTTCCCAGCAGATATCCCAGAGGCCCTTCTATTTGTCCATGCCCTGTCCTAGGGGACTGTCAGACACAGGCTTCCTTAAATGATGACATTTTACTGTGGTCCCAAATCTTAATGTAGTTTGTTCCT